TATATATGTTACGTATAGAAAAGTAAATTGTGAAAAGGCAACCTTAAATGGTTTGAGAAAGCATAATCTGAGTGGTGGGAGTTCACCTGAGTGTAGGAGATGATAAAGACCATATGGTAAGGTTTTCTTAGTACCCTGTTTGGGTATGGTGTTGGAAACAATTCTCCTTAGTGCCTTGAAAGGTGCTATGTTAGAGAAGATCTCCTGAGTGCCTATTAAAGTACTGTGTTCGAGATGAGAGATTCCTTAGTATCTTTGTAATAGGGGTGGGAGTTAATGACGCCCCATTGTGTGTATTGGGGGAAAATCATAGTCTATATTGTGCGTTAGAACATCTTTGGCTAGGTGATTCTACTACTACAGGTGAGCTCAAGACTAATGAGAGTGTCCATTGATCTTAGATGAGCTTATAGTTTCATGTCGGGGTGATTTGGAGGTTTGATTGGTAGAGATCACGCTAATATTTTATGTGATATGATGAAATATCGTGAGATACCATGAAATCCTTTGGGATTGATGAAAAGTAGAAAAATGAAATGCGATATGTGATGTAAATACTACTTTATGAGGTTTTAATGGTATACTATGTTTATTTTCATGTTATTGCATGTGATAGTCAATAAGAGTGAGTTATTCTATTACTGAGATTTTTATCTCACCCCCGTGGTTACATGTTTACAGGATCGAGAAGTGATCAGGCCAAGGGAAGAGACTCTGGACCAGCTTAAGTTGTGAAGTCGTGTACTCAAAGGTTGTGTAATGAACTGTATTGAAAGATTGCATATATAAGTATATATGAGTTGCCATAAGTTGCATGCATGTATTGAATTGAGTTTTTGTGAAATCAAGCCCGAATCATGTGTATATGTGTTGTTTGAGACAAAGGGTCTTTAATTTGAATATGTTTGTGTTGCAATGATTATAGGTTGGTGACTCTTAAGCCAAAGGACAAATTATGAGAAAATGAGTAATTTGGGGGCTAAGATTGTATTGTGAATATGATTGCATATGTATGAGTTGAGAAATAGCCGAGTGGGCTAAGTTATATCGAGAAATGGCATAGCATTTTATGTTAGTGAATTGTGGAAATTGGCCATAGAAGGGTCAAATTTTGTATGTGAGTATGATTGTGATAATTTGTGGTTAATAAGGTGTATTAGATCCTTTTGGACTTGGTTCAAGACCTAGTGTGGTCTAATGAGAGAAAGGGATCGATTTGAGCACTCGGGTGTGCAAAATTTTCATGAAAAGTGACTTTTGCACCTGGGTGTTCAAATTTTAATCATACCGTTAGATCGTGTCCAAACCTATCTCATTAGTTAGTATACGAGATAAGCTTCGTGTGAGCGCTTGAATCACTCTGATCGAATGTCGTGTGAAAAATTGGTGCATACCGAAAGTTCATCATTTTTGTTGTCAAAATGACAGCAGAAAAACAGATAGCCGTGCCGTGGTGTATGGAGGCACATGCCATAGTGCATAACACAGGTAGAGAGAGCACGTGGCACATGGACCGCCCGTCGTAACATACGTACCAAGTTTCAGTTTTTATTTTGTGTGCTGAAATGCATGCATTTGAGTTAGGAGTACTGGTGGGTTATTTCCACTATATACTTTAGAAGTGCATGAATTATTTCTACTGTGTTTTCTCTGATTGTATTGTGATTTAATTGATTTTATAAAGTAAGTCTTCCACCGAAGCTTTTGAAAATGGAATTTGATTATTGTGAATAATGTGAGATAATGGTAACACCGTAGTCTTCTCTTATATTAAGTGGATATAGGAGGAGGTTATATTTTGGTATCAGTTTCTCGATTTTCAAGACCTGATTGTTATTGATGCATTCATTTAGAAATATGACAACTTATCTTGTTCATTACACAACTTTTTCCCTAATGCCCTTTGTTTTTCGTATTTTCGTCCTTAGGAAGGGAGAAAATAGTACAGTATGAGAGTCACTTGTATGAGAACCGCAGTATCTAGATAGGTTGTAGAGGAGGAACGGTAGCCGAAAGTTCAACTAGTTCAGCCGCAAAGGGATAAATGTGATGAGCTACTGGAAGAGCTCAGGGATATGGTGGTTGACATAAGACAAACTGTTAGGGATCATGACATGATCCTAAGGGGTATAGAGCAATAAGAGAGAGTTGAAGCTCAGAATATCCCAGTGCAGGAATCACATAGTAGACCTAGACCGTCTTAAAATTCAGGTAGTGGACCAGAGATTCCTGGCACTGATATATCTATTGATCGTGCTTGGAAGATGTTTGTTCGGTTCAATCTGCCAATATTTAATGAGAGTATGAGGGAAGGTGAAGCAAAATTGTGGATAGAATGAATGGAAACCATCTTTAAGATGGCGATCTGTACTTCAGAGCAAAAAGTTATCTTAGGCATGGTGCAGTTGGTTAATGCTGCTAAGAGGTGGTGGGAATCTGTGAGATCAACTGGTGGTATTTGTTTGAGCTGGGATGAATTCAAGAGAATATTTTTTTATCAACACTTTCCATTCTCATTCAAAACTAAGAAGGAAGAGGAATTTCATGCTTTCATACAGGGAGACTAGACAAAGAAGAATTTATAAGAAGATTTAATGACTTATCCACTTATTCCACATATCTCCAGCATAGTAATGACTCGAAGTGAAAAGTTGAGAGATTACTTAAAAAGATGAGACCTGAGTACAGATAATAGATAGCACTACTTGATGTTATGACATATAAGGGGATGTGCCATAAGCTGAGGGTAGCAGCTAGGAGTGGTAGAGAGGCAGCAGATGTTAAAAGGAGACGAGACAGTATGGGAAGATTTTCTTCTCATATGGGTCCGACTAGTAGAATCTCAAAACGGACTAGGTTCAGTGTGAGCAGTTCCAGTTCTTCTGGAAGGAAAGGTTTCAGTCAAGGATCATAGTCTCGACTTGTGCATAAAGGATCAATACAGAGGGGTGGAGGTGTGAGAATTAGGCCTCCACAATCTTTGAGGCAAGCGTCGAATATTCCAACTCTGACTTTGAGTACTGGAAGGATGCCCCAATGCAACATATGTGGAAAATCTCATTCGGGAGATGTTGGGCTTATTACAAGTGTGGTAAATTGGGTCATATAGTGAGGCAATGCCCAGAGGGCAGAGTTGAGGGGACTGAGCAAAGATCGATGGTTTCTAGCTGAGTATTTGCAATTACACAAAAAGAGGCCAGAGCATCTATGAATCTGATCAGAGGTATGATTTTTGTTAATGGTTACAAAGTAGAGGTATTGTTTGATCCTAGTGCCATCCATTCTTTCATGTCTAAGGAATGTGTAGATAGGTTGAAATTGTCTTTACAAGAATTATCTGTGCTTATTAAAGTGATGACAGCTTCTGGAACATCTAGTATTACAAGTCAAGCTTGTCAAACTGTGGAGATTCGATTTGAGGACAGAGTTTCCAAGATCGATCTGATTTGTATTCCTGTAAGAGGAATAGATGTGATATTGGCATGGATTGGCTAGCAGCAAATAATGCTATGCTTGATTGTGCTAAGAGAGTGGTTTCCTTACCAGTGTTATGTGCAGCAATGGAATGGTCAAAGCAACCTAAATTCCTATCAGTAGTAAGTGTTGAGAAGTTGATCCGGCAAGGTTATAATGCCTATATGGTATTCTTTGCAGCCAGTACAGTGTATGATGGTAGGATTAAGAAGATTGGGGGTAGTAAGTGAGTTCCCAGAGGTATTTTCAAAAGAAATGACTGGATTACCCCCTGAAAGGGAAGTTGAGTTCTCAATTGAATTAGTTCCTGGAATCGAACCAATATCAAAGGCTCCTTAAAGAATGTCGTCGTCTAAATTGGCTGAGCTAAAGAAGCAGATTGAAGATTTATTAGAGAAGGGATTTATCATACCAAGTGTATCACCTTGAGGATCACCGGTATTGTTTGTGAGAAAGAAAGACAACAGTTTGTGACTGTGCATCAATTACCGACAACTGAATAAGGTAACTGTTAAGAACAAGTATCCTCTGCGAAGGATAGATGATCTTTTAGATCAATTGGCTGGTGCCTCAATCTTTTCTAAGATTGATCTAAGGTTGGGGTATTATTAGTTGAGAGTTAGTGCAATAGATGTACCTAAGACAGCTTTCAAAACTAAGTATGGCCATTATAAATTCTTGGTTATGCCTTTTGGTTTGACCAATACGCCAGCAATATTCATGGATTATATGAACCGAATCTTTAGGCCAAACTTAGATCAGTTTGTAATGGTCTTTATAGATGACATCCTGATCTATTCTGAGAATGAGGAGCAACATGTAAGGCATTTGAGAATAGTTCTACAGATTCTTAAAGACAGGAAGTTATATGCCAAGCTCAATAAGTGTGAGATTTGGTTAAGAGAAGTGAGGATTTTAGGACATGTAGTGTTTACAGATGGAATTTCAATGGATCCACATAAGGTTGATGCAGTGTTGAAGTGGGAACGTCTTAGTTCAGTCACAAAGATACGTAGCTTTTTGGGATTACTTGGGTATTATCGATGATTTATCCAAGGATTTTCCCAGATAGCTTCTTCTTTGACTAAACTAACTCAGAAATATTAGCCTTATATATGGGACGACTAGTGTGAAATGGCATTTAGGAAGCTGAAAGAGAAATTAACCACAGTACCAGTGTTGATTATCCTTAATCTAAGGTTACCTTACGAGGTATACACTGACGCGTCTTTGAAAGGTCTTGGTTATGTCTTGATACAGGATAGTCGAGTGGTAGCTTATGCTTCACGATAATTAAGACCACATAAGGAGAATTATCCTGCGCATGATTTAGAGCTTATAGCGGTGGTGTTTACTCTAAAGATTTGGCATCATTATCTATATGGTGTAGTGTTCACTGTGTTTAACGACCATAAAAGTTTGAAATACTTGGTGGATCAGAAGGAATTGAATATGAGGCAAAGAAGGTGAATTGAGCTTCTTAAGGATTATAACTTTGAATTGAAATACTATCTGGGTAAGCTAATATGGTTGCTGATGCTTTGAGCTGGAAGACTTTGCATATGGCAAGTCTTATAGTTAAGGAATACAGATTGATGGAGTCGTTTATGGTGTCGCAGCAGGATGCGCCATTGAAGGCATTGGTTGGTGCCTATTCCACTAAGATTAACAATGATTTTCGGAAGGAACTGAGAATGGCACAATTAGAAGATGAAAGTCTTTTGAAGATTAAAGAAGAGATTGAAGCAGATCAAACTATTGAGTTTGGATTTAATGATGATGGTTTTGTGGTTTATCGGGATAGGATTTGTGTGCCTGAAGATGTAGATTTGAGAAAAGTTATCTTTAATGAGGCTCATTGTAGCAAATACATAATCCATTCGGGAGCTACAAAGATGTACCAAGATGTAAAACGGTATTGGTAGTGGCCTGGTATGAAGAAATGATATAACAGAGTTTGTGACTCGGTGTTTGACCTGTCAAAAGGTTAAGATAGAGCACCAATGACCAACAGGAATGTTACAACTATTGGATATTCCTACATGAAAATGGGAGAGCATTTCTATGGATTTTATAACTGGGTTATCAAGAACTCAATCTAGACATGATGTCATTCGGGTTATAGTCGATAGACTTACTAAATCAGCTCATTTCTTAGCTCTTCGGATTAGTGATTCTTTAGAAAGTTGGCAGAGATCTATATCCGAGAGGTAGTAACGTTACATGGTGTGCCGAGGAATATAGTTTCTGATAGAGATCCAAGATTTACTTTTAAGTTTTGGGGAGCTTTACAACATACCTAGGTACTAAGTTGAGATTCAGTACAGCTTATCATCCACAAACAGATAGGCAGGTAAAATGAACCATATAGATTTAAAGGATATGTTGAGAGCTTGTGTATTGGAGTTGAAAGGTAGCTGGGATATCCATCTCTTTTTGGCTGAATTTGCTTACAACAACAATTACCACTCCAGTATATAAATGACACTGTATGAGCCATTGTATAGGAGAAAATGCAAATTGCCTCTTTGCTAGACAGAATTGAGCAAAAGGAGTATGTTAGGACTAAATATTATGGATCAGATAACTTAAAAGATTGAGTTGGTCAGGCAAAAGCTGTTAACGGCATAGAGTAGGTAAAAGAGCTTTGCAAATAGGCGTAGAAGGCCGTTAGAGTTCCTGATGGGAGACCATATGTTTCTGAGGGTTATACTAGTGACAGGAATTAGGAGATCGATATGAGCTAAGAAGTTGACTCCTCGATTCATTGGTCCTTTCAATATTTTGGAGAGAATTGGACCAGTTGCCTATAGGATTGCTTTGCCACCACAGTTATTGGTGTGCATGAGGTGTTTCACATGTCACAGCTTAAGAAATATCAACCTGATCCTTCACATGTGATAGAATTGGAGGAGATTGAACTCCAGGAGAATTTAAACCTATAAGGCTGAGCCAAAGCGAATCATAGATGTGGAAGAGAATTAGTTAAAGTTTTCTGGCGAGGCATGGTTCCTGGTGATGCTACCTGGGAGACAGAGGATAAAAAGAAGCAATAATACCCTCACCTATTTCCATAGGTATATATTTATTGCTTTTATGAATTTTGAGGGCAAAATTCATAAAAGGAGAGGAGAACTATAACATCCTGAATTTCTTAATCCTAAGTTTAAAGGTTAATCAAGGGTGAAGTGGAAATTAAAGTAAGATTAAAGATTCAGAGGATTAATTGGTATTTTGACTTGTTTGTGTTATATGAGTAGATATGGGTGATTAGAGTGCATTTTAGTTCGAAGCAAGTACGTGAGGTGAGAATAAATCTCACTGTGCCATGCCCTATGGCTTGTGCTGCATGCGTCGCGGTGCATGGACCAGAAATTCACTTCATAAGTCATGAATTTTAAAAAAATTTAGAGGAGAGAATTTGAGAAACACATGAGATAGAGAGAGAAGAAAGGCTGAGGAGCTAGGTTAAGTTATTTTGGAGCGGTGGAAGGTGATTCGGATCGGTAACATGCTAGGTAATCTACGTATAACTCTCACCTTCAATTCTACACAAATTTCATTGAAAATGAGTTATAGGGAAATTGAATCGATGGAATTTGAGGGGTTTGATTCTTGCCTAATAGTAATAAAAAGGTTCTTGGAAGTTAAATTAGAGCTTTGTGACTGGTTTAGAGCTAAACGGTAGAGCTTTGAACCTGTAGGCTCAATTTTAACCTTTAGAGAGAGAAAGTTAAGGCAAAAAATCTATCTTGAGAGAAATAAGGCCAGCTGAGGTGATGTAAAGTAGTAATTGAGTAGTCATGGACTTAAAATGAATAAGAAAAGGAGTTTACGAATTAATATAGCCCTAAGTGTTAAAAAGAGTTTTTAGTCAAAATGGACAATTGACTAAAATGTGCCAAATGTGTTCAGATTGGCATATTGGACACGTGAGTAGAGAAAGAAAGCTTGTGATAAGCTTGTGTGATAGTTGAAACCCACGGGTAACCTTTCTAGTGAGAGAAGGGTTAAGGTAATTGAATAACTTCCTTTGTTTAACTATTTATTGTAACTATATGTTGGTATGCTATGTAATGCATGAACTAGTTTTGAATCGAGCATGTTTTGTGGCATTGAATGATAGTGTGTGTAAAAATGACTTTTAGTCGAAATGATTATTAAAATTGTGTTTTGTAATGTGAAGTGATATATATATATATATGGGTTACGTATAAGAAAAGTAAATTATGAAAAGGGTACCTTAAATTGTTCGAGAAAGCATAATCTGAATGGTGGGAGTTCATCTAAGTATAGGAAATGATAAAGACTATATGGCAAGGTTCCTTAGTACCTTGTTAGGGTACGGTGTTGGAAACAATTCTCCTTAATGCCTTGAAAGGTGCTATGTTAGAGAAGATCTCTTTAGTGCCTATTAAGGTACTGTGTTGGAGATGAAAGATTCCTTAGTATTTTTATGATACGGGTGGGAGTCAATGATGCCCCATTATATGTATTGTGGGAAACTAATATTGTGTGTTAGAACATCTTTAGCCAGGTGATTCTACCACTGCAGGTGAGCTCAAGACTAATGAGAATGTCCATTGGTCTGAGATGAGCCTATGGTTTCACGTCGAGGTGATTTGGAGGTTTGGTTGGTAGAGATCATGCTAGTATTTTATATGATATGATGAAATATTGTGAGATACCATGGAATCCTTTGGGATTGATGAAAAGTAGAAAAATGAAATGTGATATGTGATGTAAATACTACTTTATGAGGTTTTAATGGTATACTATGTTTACAATCATGTTATTGCACGTGATAGTCAATAAGAGTGAGTTATTCTGTTACTGAGATTTTTATCTCACCCCCATGATTACATGTTTATAGGATCGGGAAGTGATCAGGCTAAGGGAAGAGAGTCTGGACCAGCTTGAGTTATGAAGCCGTATACTTAGAGGTTATGTAATGAACTGTATTGAAAGATTATATATATAAGTGTATATGAGTTATCATAGGTTGCATGCATGTATTGAATTGAGTTTTTATGTAATCAAGCCCAAGTTATGTGTATATGTGTTGTTTGAGACAAAAGGGCTTTGATTTGAATATGTTTGTGTTGCAATGATTATGGGTTGGTGAATTTTAAGCCAAAGACAAACTATGAGGAAATGAGTAATTTGGGGGCTAACATTGTATTGTAAATATGATTGCATATGTATGAGTTGAGAAATAGCCGAGTGGGCTAAGTTATGTTAAGAAATGGTATAGTATTTTAGGTTAGTGAATTGTGGAAATTGGCTGTAGAAGGGTCAAATTTTGATATGTGAGTATGATTGTGATAATTTGGGGTCAATAAGGTGTATTAGATCCTTTTGGACTTAGTTCAAGGCCTAGTGTGGTCTAATGAGAGAAAGGGATCGATTTGAGTTCTTGGGTGCGCAAAATTTTCATAAAAAGTGACTTTTTACACCCGGGTGTTCAAATTTTAATTGGACCGTTAGATCGTGTCCAAACCTGTCTCATTAGTTAGTATACAAGCTAAGCTTCGTGTGGGCACTTGAATTACTCTGATCGGATGTTATGTGAGAAATTGGCACACACCGAAAGTTCATCATTTTTGCTGTCAAAATGATAGCAGAAAAACTGATAGGCGTGCCGCGGTGTATGGAGGCACATGCCACAATGCATGACACAGATAAAGAGAGCATGTGGCTTTGTGCCACATGCTGCAGCACATGTACCAAGTTCCAAGTTTTATTTTGTGTGCTGAAATGCATGCATTTGAGTTAGGAATACTGGTGGGTTGTTTCCACTATGTGCTTGACAAGTGCATGAATTATTTCTGCTGTGTTTTCTTTAATTGTATTGTGATTTAATTGATTTTATAAAGTCTTCCGCCGAAGCTTTTGAAAATAGAATTTGATTATTGTGAATGATGTGAGCTAATGGTAATACCGTAGTCTTCTCTTATATTAAGTGGATATAGAAGGAGGTTACATACACCATTGAAAGCTTTGGTTGGTGCCAATACTACTATAATCAGTAGTGATTTTTGGAAAGAGTTGAGAATGGCATAGTTAAGAGATGAGTATCTTTTGAGAATTTGAGAAGAAGTTGAGTTGAATCTGTCTAAAGACTTAAGCTTTAATTATGATAGATTTGTGGTTTACTGGGATAGAATTTGTGTGCCTAATAAAGCAAACTTAAGAAGAGTGATCCTAAACAAAGTACACTATAGTAAGTACACTATCCACCCAAGAGCTACAAAGATGTACCAGGATGTTAAGCGTTATTAGTGGTGGCCAAGAATGAAAAGAGATGTGACTAAGTTTGTAGCACGATGCTTGATTTTTCAGAAAGTAAAGATTGAATATTAGAGGCCGGCTGGGACGTTACAGCCATTAGAAATACCTAAGTGGAAATGGGATAGCATTTCCATAGATTTTATCTCTGGATTGCCAAGAACTCAGTTGGGGCACGATGCTGTTTGGGTGATAGTAGACCGATTGATGAAGTCAACTCATTTCTTAGCCATCAGCATCAATGATTCTCTTAAGAAGTTGGCTGAGATTTATATCTATGAGGATGTGCATTTGTATGGAATGCTTAAGGATATAGTCTCTGATCGAGATCTAAGATTCACATTTAGGTTTTGGGGAGCATTGTAGAGAGCTATGGGTACTACTTTAAAATTTAGTACCACTTACCATCCTCAGACTAATAGGCAAATTGAGTGAACCATTCAAACTCTAGAGGATATGCTACAATCTTGTATGCTAGAGTTGCGTGGTAGTTGGGATAGCTACTTGCCATTAGTTGAATTTGCATCTAACAACAGTTACCATTCTAGCATTCAAATAGCACCATATGAACTTTATATGGAAAAAAGTGTAGATTGCCGTTGTGTTGGACCAAATTGAGTAAAAGAAGCATAGGAGG